GTCTTCTAATGATGCAAGCCACCTTGGGTTCTCTTTAGGGAAAAAAGATGGGATAAGAACATTTTAAATAACAAAAATAAATAAAAATACATTTCCTGCTTTTGCTGCAAGTTGGGCTCGATTACACAAGGGGTCCCTTCCAGCTCTATAGTTTTGTGATTCTCAGGATTTCAGCAAAACAGCTGACAGTCTGCACAGTAGCAGAAGAGCCACTGCACTTCTGTTCAAAGACTGATTTGGAAACTTTTATGATGGCATGAATTGCAAGAAAGCTTGCTGTTGTTGTTGCTAAACTGTGCTGGCTGGTCTCAGGAGTGAAATGGGGATGCATGACTAAATCTCTAAGGAATCCAGTTCAGGAATTTTGGGGCAGTTCATCCTGAACATAGAGATTTCGCTGTTGCATGTTGCTGGGTGATTTATTTGAGTTTGTTGTCAGATTAAATACATAATAAACACCATGACTTGTAACTTGCTCAGCCATAGAAGTGATTTCCCACAGTACAACACGACATACAATCGTTACAAGTGTACATTATTAACACACGGCCCAAGGAGTTGAAAATGCCATCAGAACTGGGCATTGGCTTACCTCCATGAAGGCCCATTCTGGTCTGTGATGAAGGAGACATAGCAGAACGGGACCTATCCAAGTAAGTTCTAGGTCTATAGGGAGGGAGGGAGCTGACTGTTCAATCAGAAGCTACTTGTTGAAGGACACATCTCTCAATGGCAGCTGCTGCTGAACTGTACAGTATTTGCCAATCTGTTATGTCTTATAAATGTGGAAGGCTGAGCCCAAGTTGCTGGTCTGCAAATATTTCCCAGAGGAGCATCTCCTGAGAAGGCTGCTGAAGGTGCTGCCTGTCTTATAGAAGGAGCAAGTCTTAGGGAGACTTCATAGGCTGGAAATATGCAAGCCTTATTCCATTTTGGTGAAAACAGAAAGGGAGATCTTTTTTACCAAAGGAGGGGGGAGAGGAAGAAAGAGATGAAAGAGCTACGTTTCCTGGAGGATGTGGTTCTTTTAATATAAATCTTGACAGGTCTTCTAAAGTTAACCCTGTGCCACTTCTTTTCCAAAGGATGACTCAAGTTGGGACAGAAGAAGGGAAGTACAGTACAGTCTCTTGAGACCTATGAAAAGTTGTGTGAAGTGTTACAGTGTCAGAAGTAATGAAGCATGCATACTTACCAATACAGAAGTGAGCTGAGAAACTCTATGACCTGAAATAACAGCAACAAGGGAAGCCACTTTCAGGGGAAAGATGTTGAAGAGAGACAGAAGGTTAGGGTTCAAAGGGTGGGTAAGAGAGGGCCCTGAGAACCATATAGTGTCTCCATGAGAGAAAGCTATATATAACAGGTAGTCGAATTATGGATGATGTTTGGAGAAACTTCTTCAGGTATGGGTGAGCAAGCAATGGTCTCCTACCTTTTCTTGTCAAAAGATGGGAGAGGGATGAGGCTTATCTGCATGGCATACTGGGATAGAGACCTGAATCCAGGCTATCATGGAGGAGCAGATTATATCTCATTGCCCTGTACAGCTGTGTACAAATGCTTCCTTTTTAGTCGCTATGCTTTTGGACACTTTCAATTAGTTTTGGAGCTGATATAGACCAAAGAAAGGTGTAGAGAGTATAAAGAAGCTTGGTATGTGTTTGATATACTGTCTAATATATTTTATCATGCCTAATGTGCTCAGTATAAATGCATGTATTTATATAACGTTGAGAGTCCCAAAAGAAAATGTGAATGATTCAATATCTGATGTAGTTTTGTGTTATGCTTAGCTCCTGAAGAAGGCTTCACCAAAATGTGTTGAGCCAGATCTTTTTAATGACTCATTTAAATAAATGCAAGAATAAAGAGCTTGATTCTATTTTCTACATCCTGAGACTTTGTCTCTCATTTATAATCTGGACTTCCATGGATGAACCAGTTCCTTTTGGTTCATCATGAAGGAGCTTCAGCAACTCTATAGAGCGGGAGCAGTGTTTCTTACAACACCAATAGAGTTACTCCCCACTGGAAGAGAACTATTACTTCACTGTGATGTGAGGATGAAATCTTGATCTTCCTTGCTTGTTTAAGAATCAATACTCCCTGTTCTGAGCAGGATATGTTGCTGCTGTAGAAGATGCTGAAAATGAACCAGAGCCAGTTGAACTTTGTGGAGCTCCAGACAATTTATTGATTGGGTCATCTCAGATTCGGACCAGGTCTGTTAATTTGTGAAGCTGAGACAGTGGACTACCCAGCATGCAAGGCAGACATCTGTAGTCAACTCTGTTCTCTGAGACTCCTGCAGAGGGACTTCCTTGCAAATATTGGCATTTTTTTTGTGCACCAGACCAGAGAGACTCTGAGCGGAGGAAGCAAGAAAATGACCAGAGACCTTTTCCTAGAGATGTCCAATTGATAAAAGCTGGAGAAAGTGAAGCAGGGGCCGTGGGTGAAGGAGTGCTCAAGGACTAGTGAGAGACATGGTGTCATTAAACCCAGCAAATAAGCTAGGAACATGAGAAGTGGATGTATTGTGTGCCTCTTTTCTGATTTTCAGCACCCTCTCTGGTGCTGGAAAGACCATTGCCATTTGAGTATCTAGTAAGATCCCAGATAGATTAAGCATTTAGTTAGAAGCATATAAGTCTTGGACGAGTTGATTATAAACGTATGACCCACAAGGGCTAACAGGGTGGTTTGAAGGCCCTCCTGAGCTCCAGAGAAGAAACAGGGTCCGGTTGTCCAGGTAAGGATGAATTTTTACCTCTTGTATCCAAAGGGCCACCATACGTATGGTAAACACCTGTGGTGCTGAAGACACACCAAATGCTTGTGCTTTGAGTTGAAAATTGTATTTGCCAAAGGTTAACCACAGGAAACATCTATGACACATCTTGCTTGGAATATGTAGGCATGGCTCCTTCACATCTATAGAGGCCATGCAGTCCCCAGAATGGAGAGCATCTAGGATAGACTTTAAGCCACCAATCTTGAATTTTTTTTGTTTGCTACAAACCTGTTTAGGAATTTGAGGTCCAACACAGTCTCTTTTGAGGGCTGCAAACAAGATGGAGAGGATTCCTATGAACCCCTCTAAAGGAAGAACACGCTGCATTGCTCCAATCTTAATGAGATGATGGATCTCTTGCAAAAGAATTGCTAAGTTGTTCTTGTTCCTTGAGACTGGAGATGGAAGGAGGCTGCTCCTGGGAGTCTGGTGGAAATCGACAAGATAGCCCTCCCTGATGGTTTGTAGCACCCACTGATGAGAAGTTGTCCTTTCCCATGTGGACACAAAGTGGGAACGATAAACTCCCCACTGGAGGTGCAGAAAGAGACAGCATGTCAGAAATTTTGCTTGGGGGGTTGGGAGGGATTTGCTGGGCTGTTGCTCTGGGCTGAACCTGTGGTTGAGGATGGAAATTGGCCTGAAATCTGAATTTGGCCCAAGGGGGATGGAAATTACAGCAGTACCTAGGGTGGGGAAATCCTCATGGATAGCAAAAGGAGAAGAAGAAGAAACTCCTTTTGAGTTGTCTGTTATCATTTTTTTTCAGTAAATATGATATGATCTTCTTTTTACCTTTGGTTTCCACTAATACATCTTTGAAGGCATGATTCCCAAAAAGTTGGTCATCTTGTAGGGAACTGTAGCCAAACTGGATTTGAAAGATGCATCTTTGGTCAGGTGCTTGACCCACAGGGATCTCTGAGCCACTGTGCTGCAGCAATACAGTAGATCTGGCAGCAAAGATCAGGGAATCCTGAGTATGTATGGTTGTATGGTTGTATGGTTATATGGCTGTATGGTTGTATGGTTGTATGGTTATATGGCTGTATGGTTGTATGGTTGTATGGTTATATGGCTGTATGGTTGTATGGTTGTATGGTTATATGGCTGTATGGTTGTATGGTTGTATGGTTGTATGGTTGCATGTATGGTTGTATGTATGGTTGTATGATTGTATGGTTGTATGGTTGTATGGTTGTATGGTTGTATGGCTGTATGGTTGTATGGTTGTATGGTTGTATGGTTGCATGTATGGTTGTATGTATGGTTGTATGTATGGTCGTATGGTTGTATGGTTGCTTGGACAAACAAACAAACAAATGAATGAATGTAAAATATTTTTAACCCACCTTTCTCCTTAAAAAGGATCTTTGAAGTACTTGGCAACAAGGTTGTGGCTGTTTAATAAATCCTGAGCTGGAGGCACAAGAATATCATGTAGAAGAGGTTTAAAGTTGAGCCTGAGGTACAAGACTCTTCTCCACAGGACTCTGAATCAATTTCCCCTTCTGAAGCCTCTGCTATATCTAATCTGGGTTAAGTAAAAAATTTTCTGCTCCATCACATGAGCCAAAGTGGTAGTGGGTGGCCCCAGGACACACAAAGCCTCAGGAGGTAATAGTGCAGAGATAACATGGTGATCTAGAGTAGTAGTCCCCAGCCTTGGGCCTCCAGATGTTCTTGGACTTCAACTCCCAGAAATCCTGGCCAGCAGAGGTGGTGGTGAAGGCTTCTGGGAGATGTAGTCCAAGAACATCTGGAGGCCCAAGGTTGAGGACCACTAATCTAGAGAACGAAGCACCTGCTGCCCACTCCCAATGGAACTGGAGTGGGCCACATGGGCATGCTTAGTGGGCAAGAATTTTGAGGAGATGTCACCAAATTTACCCATTAAGGAAGAAACGAAGAAAGACAACAGCAAGAAAGGCTTGAATGTATGTTATAAAAAGCCAGAAAGAGGAGGGAGCAAAAATGAGGTCTGTTCTGGGGAAAAAGAGGAGAAAAAAAAACCGGGAGGAAAAGCATGTGGAACTAAGCTCTTCTAGGTTCACTCCTCCTGCCAAGAAAGGAATTAACCCATCCCTTGATGGCTCCTTTCCACAGACCGAGAACCTGGTTTTAAGCAAGTCAGTATAGTTGTGCCCTAAGGTTTATTTATTTTCCCCACATTCTCACTGTACCAACATAACATTTTGCTTACATGGGAGGATATCTCGGTATCTGTTCTTTTCCCGATTTTCTGGTGCTTTGGCAACTTGGCAGTCATCAAGTGGCTTCAAGTGTTCTAAATCCTAAAACAAATATGAATTTCAGCATGTTTCATCTGCAGTCATTAGTACATTGATATTAGTATATTTCAATCAGAGGAATGGCTTTGTTTCTGCAAACTTTCGTGCATCAGTCTCTCCTCTTTGAGAAAGAGATCTGTTTGGTTTGCAGTTGGACAGTGTCTTTGAAGCAACCAACATGAATTAGACCCAACTCCGGGAGGCAGTGGAAGACAAGAGGGCCTGGTGTGCTCTGGTCCATGGGGTCACGAAGAGTCGGACACGGCTAAACGAATAAACTGTTTATGTCTACTAGAGATGACCACGAACCAATCTATGACCCTGACAAAATCATGAACTAGGCTAGTTTGTGGTTCCATTCATGGATCTCATTTTGCCGAAATAAAACAAAGTGTCAAACTTTTTTTCACCCAGTGCTTCGCTCCAGCCTTCCCTTCCCCTCCCCCTGCCTCTTTCTTCTCCACCACTGCCATCTTCAGAGACAGCAGCCTGGTGTCACTTCTGGAAGCCAGGCCTGCAATCTCTGAAGATGGTGGTGGCAGAGGTGGAAGAGGAGGAGGTGGCAGGGGCAGGTAGGGAGGCAACAGAGGCAGGGGATGGGGGCATTGGGTTTCCATTCTCCCAGGTATGACTACCACCGCCCCCCAAAAATTCAACTGACTTGTTTTTTTCCATATTCAGGGATGGTTCCTGATTCTATTGGCAGAGGTAGTGGAGTCCAACGTAAGTACATGGTTGGCTCTCAGCCTTTTTAAAAATAAGATTTCCAAATTACCTCTGTTGGAACATGAATTTCCCCAACTTACACAGTTCAGATGTACTGCAAATCCGCTTGGGATGTGAAATAGGAGTCAATGTTTCTAATGTGTGCATGTGTGTGAATATGGGATGTTTCAGTTTCCACCTTATTATGTCACTATGAAGTTAAACATTCAGACCATCTATTAACAATTTAGACCAACAAGGCAACAGATGAAATGTCTCACAATAATATCTGAATATTTTTGTATTTTTGGACTCATCTTTTCCCCTATTTTGTCCCTGTTCTTCACAGAGCACAGAACGTACCATGGTTTGTCCACAGAGGGGGGGCTATTACCTTATCAAGTGAATGACAGGAAATGTGGCCATTACTCCCACCTCTCTTTGGAGAGGTGCTCAGGTAAAAGTAACAAAATGCAAGTTAAAGAAGGAAAGCGGGAGGCTGCAGGTGGGCAGCTGTAATAAGAAAGCTGCATGGTATGGAAGGGACACCAAGAAGCCAATGGCAATGGTAGCAGTGGTAGCAGATGCTTCTTCAGCTGAGCTTCACTGGCCAGCATGCTATCTCTATTGCTGCTGCAGCCAGGCTGTGTCGAGGAGAAGTGCTGCAATGGGTGAGTTACTTGCTTGGGCTCTCAGGTGCAGCTGAAAGCAAAGTAGTGCAGGCAGGCAGGCAGGCAGGACCAATGGCATCCATCCTCCCTCCCTCTCTCCCGCCACTGCCGAGGCTGTCTGGCAGGCAGGGTGATCCACCCACCCTTTGGCCCAGCATAAGCACGATTCTCAGTGGTGAAGGGGAGTAGACCACCCTGTTGAGGAGAGCAAGCTGGTGGTCTCCATCTGACGGCCTTTCCTGGGTCCATTGGAGTGGGTGCTGCTGCTGCTGCTACTGCTGCTGTTGGGCAGCCAGAGCCATCCAGTCAGGCTGGGGGCACCTGGGGTTCAGGCACTGCTGTGTCCCTTCTTAGCTGCTGTCAGGCTGCTGGCAGTGTTGAGCCTGGCTGGTCCTGTCTTCCTGCTGGGGCAGTGGTGGTGGTTGAGCGTGGCCATGTGAGCACTGCAGGAGGCGGCGACAGCACAGTGGCAAGAGCTAGAGGCACAGTGGGGGCCCCTCCATGCCCCTCCAGTTCTCTCTGTCAACCACAATGATGGGGTTTGGCTGCCATTGACTCCCATTATCTTTGACTATTGGTCATGCTGAAGCTTCCTTTAGAAGTGATCAACTTTCTGAAGGTAGAGAGGTGGCAGCCTTGGGCATTGCCTGAAGTTACAGTCAGCTGTAGGTATCCTCTTCTCAGACAATAGAAGTTGTTTTTTAAAAATTCCAGCTGGAATGAGCACGCCCATCTGGTCGACATGACCACTCTAGGTGGCTATTTATTTATTCATTTTCATAGCTTTGATAAAAATTGAGTGGCTACCAGAGTAGATTCCCGAAACTAGATGGGTGGGGTAAAAATGGAACAAATAAACAAATAAAATAAAAATACCAGAAATTATAGTAGCACACCCATATCCATGGGATCAGTATCCTTTTTTGTTTTGTTTGTTTCTTTGTTTTGTTTAAGGCATCCTGGTTGTTTTTTGTACTTGTCAGCCCTGGCTATTCATTTGTTTTGGTCCCCTGAGATCACATATGATGTCAGCTGTGGGAGTGTTCCCCCTCCCCAGAGCAGTGCAAAGGAGAAAGGTAAGAAATTCCCCCTCTTTCCCTCACTTTCTTGCCCGACCTGAAAAGCTAGTCAATTTCATCAGAAAATGGCAAGTTGCTAAATGGTAAACTTCCCCAGCAGGGCTACTTTTTGCCCTCTTTCATGTACATCATTTGGAGATCTTCTCTGGGGGGTTTTGTTTCCTATATCTTCCCTTCCCTTTGAGTTCTGAAGGGGTTTATTCCCCAGTCTGTTGTCCATAGAAGGGCAAGGGCTTGTGCATACCTATTCCAAGGGGAGGAGACAGCATAGAGAATGGGGATGGAAGGAAGCAGAGAGTTGAAGGAGGAAAAAACAGGGTTTGTTCATGTGGAAACTTAATTCAGATTGCATGCAAGGAAAAATTAAAAGAAGTGTGGATGCTTAGAGTGATTCATTCCAGATCTTCGGGGGGAAGGGCTCACAATTCCAGCCCATATCAATCTGAGGAACACACTTCATTTGAATAAGCCCTAAGAAAACTGAAACCACACATATGACATAATGGAAAAAAAGTGATTTTGTTGATTTCTGTTATATCAGAGCTGAAATATGAGGGACTCACCACAAATTCTTTTAGGATTTCATGTTGTTCTATCTGCCTCTGAAGCTTATGGATTAGATTTTCTGTATGATATCGTTGGCTGCTTTTTGACTGTGATGGCTTAATCTGTGACAGGTGAATCAACTCTTCTTCACTGACAAGTGCAGACCCTGTAGAGTTGACAGGAAAGCATCAGTCATTTGTAACTGGGAAGTCTAGTGGGCAAGGCTTCAACAGGTACATATCTTAAAAGTCCCAACTCATCCACTGTCCCATGCAACAAGTTTTCAGAGGCTGTTATCCTGACAGATGTAATGAGGGAAGCATCTATATTATAATTCTGAATACCCCCAAAAAACGGGTGGACCTCAGACAATGGACAAGGTGTACCTCATAAATAAGTCAACATATGGTTCCTAGCTTATAATATGTTACCTTTATAAAGACTAACTGAATCAGTTTTTTAATGACCCAATATTTTTTTCCACCTGCATATGATGTTCGGGTGCTTCTCTTGTTGATTCTAAGCACTAGGACTCAGTACAGTTATAGACAATACGATGAGCAAAACATATTTTCTCTTGGGTAGGAGGCAAGTTTGTGCATGCCTGAAACAATTGTTTGGGATCAGGAAAAATTTCCCTTTCTTGGATGACAAAATTTTCAACTTTGCATTGCGATAGGAAGCACTTTGTTGCTCTCTTGACAGAGAACAAGAAGATGCAAACTTAGTGAATTTGCACAAATACCGGTAAGTCTTTAAGGCAATTGAAACTTTTAACAGAAATAACCCAAAACACTTACAGTGATGATGGCTGCTGCTTTGTTGCATTGGTTTTTAAGGTCTACATCAGAAAAGTTGATGCATGTAATCCTTTATGTTAATTCAACCACTCATTCTGTGTTTGCTGTCTCTTTCTATTTCTCTTTATGTACCCATGTGATTTGCTTCTCAAAAGAAAAGGACTAGAGATGGTCATGAATCAGAAAAATTGTGATTCATTTTGATTTGTGATTCATCAAGGTCAACAAATCATGAATTATGAATTCACTTTTTTTCTGATGAATCAATTTGTCAATTCAATTTTTACACTTTAAAACCATATAAAACTGCCTGCTGAGCACCTAAATACACTAAATTCACAGGGAAGCTTCCCCTGACTCTCCTCTACAAGCCCTGCATGTTTGGTGAAGATTAGGTTTTGAATGTATGAGTTATACGCCCACAAGGAGGGACCCCCAGGAAAGGTTCCCCCAGATATGTAGACACCAAAAATCACAGGAAAGTTTCCCCTGACTCTCTTCTACAATTCCTCCACGTTTGGTGAAGTTTAGGTATCGGACATCCATGTTACAACACACCCACAAAGTGGGTCCCCCACAGGAAACTGCCCTTTAGCAGCTGTCTTGAGGAAACTCTATCTTCACCAAACTTGGAGGGACTGTAGAGGAGAGTCAGTATTGGCTTCTCATTGATTTTGGTGCCTTTAAGTGCCTCAGGGAACTTTCCTGAGGGTGGCTTCTTTGTGGGTATATAATTTGGACATCTGATATTCAATCTTCACCAAACATACTGTAGATTTGGACATCTGATATCCAGTCTTCACCAAACATAGAAGGACTGCAGAGGAGAGTCAGAGGAAGCTTCCCTACATTTTTGGTATCTTTAGGTGCCTTGGGGGCCATTTTATAGCCAAATGAATGAAAAGTCACCAAAATTCATTGATTCATGATTTGTTGGGAGCATTGATGTGAATTTTTGATTGAACCTGGTGATTCATTTTAAAATTCTTACCAGTCTCTTAAAAAAGACCCTAGAGTTTTATGCAGAGACAACCTATGAAAATTATGGGTACTTGAAGAGGGGGGGGGGAAGCATCACTCCTTGTTTTGCTCTTGCCCTGGAAGTGAGGAATATCACAGGATTCGAAAATTCCTGAAGAGCTATCTCATCAGATTGGCACAGCTTAAATCAACAAGGACAAATATTTTAGCAGGTACTTTTTCACATCCATATCCTTCACTATTTTGTCTTACAGAAAGCAAAAGCCTTTCACTGTGTGAAATCCTTTCGCTTAGCCTAGTACTTAGAAACCAGAGTACACCCACTAATCAATGAAATTTACAGTAGAGCTAACTCACCAAATCCCTACTGATTCAATGTTCTTAGTCTTGTTGCTGTTTACCATGCTAAGCAACAGGATTTCAACCACCGAATTAGAACAGTATCCCTGAACAGATGATCTACTTTCCAGAGCCACTGTTCTAATTTCTACAAAAACAAAATCATTTCCATTCCCACATTCAAATCCAAAGGTTAGTGTGTTCAAGTGGTGAGATCTCCCCATCTTATCACATAGTAAGTTGGTTCTTAATAATAGTAGAGAAACAAATGTTCTTTCTGGAGCGTTTTCATGTTAAATTTGGCAGGGTGGGGCATGTATGCCATTCCTCTGTTCAACATTCCAATATGGTATAGCATTGTACTTGGGGCCTTGGAGTGTGTCTGTGTGTAATGGTAACAGATAGACAATTGGGAAGAGCATCTGGTAGAAGTATGAGGACACTCGCGAATTTTCCCTTTCCCCATATGTTCTTTGCCCCCTGTTCATCTTGTCCCAGATGCTTCCCCATTTCACCACTCACAAATATAGTATATATGGCAGAAGTAAGAGCATTTCGGACAGTGACAATGAGTTGGGAAACTGTACAAGATATAGAAGGATCCTTTATTACAGATCAAGAAAAATAGCTATCATTCAAATACACAGGGCAGAAACAGAAAGCAACTAGAAAAATCTAAGAGCAAAGTTGAAATTTAGACTCCAAATAAAAAATCAACACAGTTTTTTTTCCCATTAAAATGAAAATCAACTGCTACTGAATGGTAGGATTGCCCTGAGGGAGGCCCTAAAAGTAATACAGGGCTGAAATGCATGAGGCTTCACAGAAAAGAAATTAAAATGGGGAAAAGATACGCACTGGCATTCTGAGGTTTTTCTGCTTTGGTTCATATGTTTTAATGAATACGTATTAATTCTGGATTCTCTTTTATTTATATGTATATACTGTAGCTGCTTTAGATAGTCTTCCTCTCTGTCTTTTATGCCAAAACCAACCCTGTAAGGTAGAGTAGCCCAAGGACACCGACTACCTTTTGTGATTAAGCTGCCATTTGGCCTTGGTTCCCTTTGTTCCAAGCCCAACACTAAGCATCACGCCGATACCTGCTCTGTTAGAGCAAAAGTTACAAAGGATGTCAAGGCTGAAATATACTGGTAGAACAGCAATGTGAATTAATGGCCTTAAACTGGCATAATACAGAAAATATATACAAATTGACATATTATGCCAATTTGCATACCGTGAAAATAAAGTTATCTGTGAATAGTCTGTATAAAATGCAAATTAGGCTGTTCAAGTTAGCAAGACTGGAATAGGGCAGCTCTATCCACGACCTCTGTAAGATGGTGTTGGAGGTCTAGCTTTAATTCCACAGATTCCTAGCCAGAAAAGGAAAACGGGTATTCCCTGATCCACAAGGCTACCGCTTTAATCCTCTAACGACATGGAGTGAATGGATGCAAAGATCTGATTTGCTCTCATCAGGTCACAGTGTTCCCCAAACTAGGAGGTTTTCCCTCCCCCCCAAACTTTTATTTATTAGATTTCTATCCCTGAGCTATGAAATTGTTCTCTATACTGCCCATCTAGCTACGAGACCACTCGGGGCAGTGGCCAACACTATGTTGAGAAATCCTGCTTGTAAGGTGTGTAGATGCATTTATGGTGCACCATCTAGCGGCAGACATGCAAAAGGATTTGTCTGTAAAATTTGCAACCAAGAGTTCATCTGCACTGGCTCTTTGGGAGCCAGTTGCTGCAGGCTAAATAAGGCCCTTTGGAGTCAGAGGAACTGTGATACACCATTTGGTGCAATCCTCACATCCAAATTGCATATCAGAACTCAAGTGCCCCATTAGGTCCAGCTCTTTCTGATATCAATAAGTGGGTTTAATGAGCCAGCCAATTGAACACTTCCTCTGCTTCTCTGTGGAGGGGTGGGAAAGTGATTTAAAAAGAGAGAGACCCTGGTAGACTATTACTGAAATGCTGTATCACTTTAAAAAAAGGGGGGGGGGAAGCCCACTATTTATTTGGTTTCTCTTAAAGGACTGGTGAAGAAACTGCCTGTAGCCAAACCTGTATCACTTCATGCTATCAGAAATGCCAATGAAAGGAGCCTCGATAGCTGGGGAGGCTCACTTTTGGTCCATGCCCAGTGATCGCACACGCTAGAAAAGGACCAAACTAGAGTGATCATATCTGCATTTAAAAAAAAAAGTAGAAGCCCCCAACAGGAGCGGGTAGGAGTGCTCTAGAGATGGTTCGGTTTCCTCCAGCAAGTAGGTTGTGATCGCAGGGGAAAAAAGAGTGAACCAAACCTTCCCTGAAGTGGACCAAACAATGGGACAAATGCCTGTCTGATTGAACTCTGTGTGTGTTCAGCTGGTGGGCTCTTGTGTGGTCATTCAAGATAGCTGCCAGAGATCTCATTATTCTTTCATCTTCCTAATGTACCCACATATACAGTATATGTTCTTTTCTTTGAGCTATGAAATTGTTCTGGTCAAATCTGATGTCCACTTCATCACACACACAAAAAAAACTTTATGGCAAAGCCTGATGTCATCACAAAAGCCTGGGGAACTGTTAGGTTGCTAGTTAGGGCCTTTTATTAGCAGGCTGAATGAACAGTGTGTGTTTACCAATAAAAGACTCGTGCATGGAATGTCAGATCAAAAGTTCTCTGAAATTAATGAGCGAAAGAGACAGTGTAACCCTCCTCCTCCTTCTCCATCATCTTAGAACTGCAGAGCTGGAAGGGTCCCTATGGATTACTGAGTCCAGCTCCTGTCAAGAAGGCACAGTGGGGAATCAAACTCCCCGTCTGATCTCTCCAGGGGAAATCAGTAGAAGCATTTATTTATTTAAAATATTTTACTCCCCCTTTCTCCTTCAGAAGGACCAAGGCAGCTTACATAATTAAAAGACAATAATTGTAAGTATACAAATAGTATGTTCAACAGCCCTTTGAAACAAAAGGTGTATTCACTTCTCAGAACCCAAGATATGTTCTGAAGCTTAAAAAAACAACAACCCACCCCTCCCTTTCACACAATACAGGCGGATTTTCCTATATTTACTCATTACAAACAACCAAAACCACAGCTTCTAGGCGTTAATGTTTCAAACATGGGCCTACTGCAGAGGAGGTTTTCTCCAGTCATATGATATGGTCAGTACAATTTATACACATCATGTAGATATAGGTACCTCTACACAGGACAGCCAGCCTCTGGGCAATGTCTTCCTCTTCATCATTCATGTGTTCATCTGGCTCTGCTTTCGGCAGCATGTGCTGTGTATTCAAGTTGTAGTTCTGTGGGCTTCAGGACAAACAGTTTACTTAACACTCAAAACTGAGGATGAAATGACCTCCCCCCAGCCATCTGTCTCTGCTTTCACTTCTCCTTCCTTATAGCCACAGGGAGGTTCCATTGGATTGCAACTCCTATCATCTCTCACTACTGGTCCTACAGGCAAAGGCTTATGAGGACTGCAGTCCTTGGACATGGAGGCTGCAGACTGCCTACTCCTGTTTTAAGAGCTTAGAAAGACAGCATCAAATAAGTAAATAATGTTGAACACATGATAGTTCAATATAATTATTTTCATAGGTTAGGTAAAGGTAAATGTTTCCCTTGACATTTAGTCTAACCACACTCTAGGGGGTGACATTTAGTCCACCGCGGTAAAGGTTTCCCTTGACATTTAGTCCACCACACTCTAGGGGGTGGTGCTCATTCCCATTTCCAAGATGTAGAGGCAGTGTTTGTCCATATACAGTTTCCATGGTCATGTGGCCAGTGCGACGAGGTGTCCATATACGTTACCTTCCCACCATGGTGGTACCTATTTATCTACTCGCATTTTTACATGCTTTCGAACTCCTAGGTTGGCAGGAGCTGGGACAAGTGACAGGAGCTCACTCCGTCTCGTGGATTCAATCTTACAACTGCTGGTCTTCTGACCTTGCAGCACAGAGGCTTCTGTGGTTTAACCCACAGCGCCACCATGTCCCTTTCCATAGGTTAGCATGGGATAAATTTATCATTACCTGGTAGAAAGAGACAAGACTCAATTATTTATTTTAAAAAATTTTTAACCATGCCTTCTTCTTTAAAAAAAGGACCCATAATTAAAAGACTGCATTTAAACCTAAAGCAGTAAGGATCAAGCAAACACCACACTAAAAAATGGTAAACGAAAGCAACGCCAAACACATTCAAAGCAATAAGGCTCAACAATCCATTTAAAAATTAAATAAATAAAAAACCCACTCAGGCATCCAGGCAGACTTGCACCTGAAGAACCTGAATTTACAGGTGCTAAAAGATAACACAAATCATTAACAGTTACAATTACCATGTATGTAGTGCTTGATTGTTTCAAGCACATTCATTAGCTTATCATCATCCTTAGAACATATCTGTAAGGTAGATCATTATTGTTGTAAGTCCCATATTGCAGATGGACATCTGAAGATGACAGGAGAGTTTTCTAGAACCACTGTCAGATTAAAACCCGGATCTTCACAACTTCATTTCCTTCATCACAGGGTCAGCCCTATAATCGGTCAGAGTGAGGCAGTCACCTCAGGCAGCTGATGTTCTGTAGCACAGTGGTCCCCAACCTTGGGCCTCCAGATGTTCTTGGACTTCAACTCCCAGAAATCCTGGCCAGCAGAGGTGGTGGTGAAGCCTTCTGGGAGTTGTAGTCCAAGAACATCTGGAGGCCCAAGGTTGGGGACCGTTGCTGTAGCACATATGGGGACAAACAGTGGCAGCTTCTGGTCATTTCCCTTCACTGGAGAACTGAGCTGTATGTCCCAGGCAGCATGTCCTGCATCCCCTCAGATAACCTGCTAGTTCTCAGGTGAGGTGGGGTTTGCTGTCCTCTCACTCGTGTTGAGACTTCAATTCATTTGTCACTCTGGCCCAGCCCCACATGTCCATCACTTCAGGTAGCAAAATGTTTTAGGCCAGGCTTCATTAGCTATCACACTACACTAACTCTATTAATCTTTGACTTTGCATTTCGGTTTAGGAAACATCTAGACAAGAACTGTTCAGAACGTCTGAGGCATTGCTTTTGCACGACCATCTAGAAAAGCTGTAACTGGTCACTGCAGCATTTGGAAATTTGAAATCTGATTCCTAATATGACATTCTACAACACACTGGCTCACTTAATACAAATATCACATCTGAAAATGAGAAATACACATAAACCGTTCCTAGAAGGACCTAGCCAATGCAGAGATGCTTCTACAATTTTGCATGGGTCATTCAATTATGTCCAGGAAGATGCACAAGCAAGAACTGTAAGAGGCAAATATTGTTGCAGAACAATGATGGACCCGGGAAGCAAAGCACTGTTATTTTTACAAGTGGTGAGGAATTCAGACATCAAAACCATACCTGTCTGAAATGTGTTCGGCATATTCAGGTCCGTGGTCTTTGACAGGAGAGATGCTTTGGTTATCTGATTCCTAAAAAAAGAAAAGAAACGTGATGAATTATTGAAAAGGGAGAACTGAAGGCCCTATGAGATATACATAGAGGCCAGCATGATGAGCTCTGGAAAGTTAGTGAAGGCCTTTTCTTTTTATATTTTTATCCTCACTGAACTTCTGAAGATACTGATGGAAAAACAGAGCTCAACCATATGCAGGTTTTAGAATTTTCAATATGTTAAAATCTAATCTTATCTCCATTACTAGTAAGAGCAAAAATTTGGGCTGGATGGACCACTTCAAAGGTTGTATCTGGTCCAGAGGCTAGACGTTCCTTATTTGCACTTTAACCATGATGTGACACTAGGTACCTTGCGCTACAAACTGTATTGGCCATATTATCCTTTTCCTAGTGGTTTCTGGCATCCAGTTGATTTAAGAGCAAGTATAACTCTTGCAGTTTTCACCACTTGTCCTCCATTTCCTTGGTTCAAAACTAGGTATTTCTAGAATTTGTATTACTTTTATAACACAAGTTGTTTAGTCATTTGGTATTTAAAATGGGGAAAGTGGCTTAGAGGCACTTAGTTGAAAATGATTTCAGCATCCTCTTTCTCCTGAAGCACCTCCCTCACAAAGCACACCCTCCTCCACAGCTACTCCATTGCAAACTTGGATTGCCAGGCTCAGTTCTGCTGACATGGACATCGGTGTAGTAATAATAATTAATGGAATGGTATAGTGTTACTCTTAGCACTGTTTGGAATATTCAGTTTTATTCTACCTTCATCTAGTCATGGAAAAAGCAATGTCTCAACAGCATTAAAATGATCAAGTGTGGAAAATAAAACTAAGATACCTTACACAGTTAGCTGTGAGCAGGCCTTACTGAATTCAGTAGGACTAATTGTGAGTAGAGATACATAGAACTGCATTGTTAAATTCTTACGGTTCCATCCCTAACCCTAGTTAATTGTAATTTTATAATTTTATATATTTTATATTCTGTTTTATCTATGCAAGCCGCCCCAAGTAGACATGGTCTAGAGGGGCGGGGTAAAAATCCAATCAATCAATCAATAGGTATATACATATATCACTATTATTTGAATAAATCATATATATTTATCTTGTTAAATTTCATAAATAAACCAAACTCCGTAGTATATGTATATAATTTATGCATATACATTCTTAAAGCAGCAAATTAATTTAACGTTTATAAGAAAGGCAAACATTGCGTATATTTCTATTTCAATTCCTTTCCATCTCTTTTTTTCTGCCTTGTTTGCTTCTGGAAAATTTTCCATGGCTTCAACATTTGTGCAAAGTCTTTGTCTCTAAGCCCAGTGCACAGCAAACCAGGACTCCCCACCCTGCAGCCAAAGAAGAGTGAGGCTGCTTCATCTGGTCCAACAGTGTTAGAGAGAAACACAGACAGCAAGTTTGTGGGGATCCATAAATTTTGCTTCACTTACACCTCACCTTGCTGCACATTTGAATGGATCTCTCTTGGGCTTGAAAAGTGAAGTCTTGCTGTGCTTCTAAAACCCTCGAGCAACCGCCTTCACCTAGGAATAAGAATCAATAAGGGGACAAAGGAAAATTTCCAAGAAATAAGAAAGGCTAAGAAAGTATTCCATGGGCTGCTGTTGTACATTAGATAGAAACCATAATAGAAAATAAGATTGCATTGTGGCTGATCCTGATGAAGAATTCATTTTTCTAGAACATACAGAATCCAGTGAGGACAGAAGACATATTTGCAGCTTAGAAATATTGGTAGGGTAAAAAAAAAAACCAGACAAAAATGCCCAGTACATTTTGACTCAGGCAAAAGGGAAGGTGCAAAGAATTATATCTCATTCCTTCGCTTGCTAAGGGATTACTATATTCAATACCTGAAAATGTATTTATGATTTTTTTGCACATTTATTACACTCCAGCTTCCAGAGCTAGGAGAGAAAGCTCACTCCCCAAGACTGTGTTATGTAGTAATGCCATAATCTTCAGATAAATTGACACAACCTTATATAGAAGGCACTATGGATAATCCTCCTTCAATTCAACGGGAGTTTGACGTAGAAAAACTGAATTATCGGGTATACGTGTATGCATGTAATACAAGTTCACAGGGAAAGAATGCTATATATCCCACAGATTGGTGAGATGCTAAAGTCCTTCCCAATGACCTTTGCAACTGTCTTTCTAACTGCCACAGTCCCTGGTAGAATCATTTGCCTAGGTAGGCTTCTGTGATGTCACACAGGATCAGATTAGTATGACACCTGTTTTCTTGGAATCACATAGAAGAGGCTGTCTAATGTGTTCCGTTGTTATTCCCAAATGTGTTATTTCAAGACTATCAACATGCTGTATACAACATACCACGAATCAAGTGATTTCTCCTCAGAGACCATGCAAGTTACTGAAAAATGAAAATGTTTTATAGTTGTGGTTTAATTTGCTGTCCATATTGCAGCACATGGACACAACCCAATTATAAAAGGGTTACCCTTTACCTCACACATACAACTGGCACTGTGCTGAGACCTCAATGGAAAGAAGTAGTACCAAGCTGTAACTACAATACAGAATATGCTTGAATGCTGTGGGTTCATTAAGCTTGACTTGTTCTGTAAATGGAAGCCTTGTATTGTTTATCAAGAGCACCTCTGGACTGAGGTATTCTCTGCCAATCTGACTATATCATGCTGATATTTAAAGCAGATCACACCAAGAGGTATTCTTTATATAGTTTCTGTCCTGATCGTAATGGGATGGGAACTGCAGTAGCAGTGGGGTTGAAAAATAGGAAGAATCTGCACCCCAGGTATTTATAACTGGGGGTGGGTCTTTTGTGTCTAAATGCAAGAACTCAAACATGAAAGAGGCTCCCCTTCATTTACTTCACCTTCTTTCAACAATTGGTAAGAGAGAACCTCTAAACATGGATGATGTCAACTTATGCATGAGGAGTACATAAAAATCTGTTTCTTTCATGTTCTCTCTTTTTTGTAACCTTTCAATGCCCTTTCACCCTTTGTTGTCTGCCAAATCACCTTGGAAATTTTCCATCCAACAGCAATGCAAAAAGCTATTAATAGCTGCCAATTAGAATGCCTTGAATGGATGATAACCTTGAACTCGTAGAAGAATCTTAAACGCAGTGAGGCGTTTTTTGTTTGTTTATTTTTTCTTTGATTATTTCTTGTGGGACTATTGTGTGCTAAGTTCTTGAAGGGGCGCATCTTGGATTGCTACCTGCTTGCTGCACTTCCATTTTGGATCCTTTCTTGCATTGGCTTTTTTTTTCTTGATTCCTCTTCAAATTCCTATGGATTATTTTTGCTGCCATTAGGCAACCTGCCTGTGCCAGGATGCCTCCTTAGGATACTTTCCCCCTTGGTTCCCTTTAGGATTTTTCCCCTCTTTGATTTATTGCTTTCTTTTATTTTATCCTTTCCTTTCTTTGATTATTTTTGCCATCTGGGCCTGCCCTGCCTGCCTGCTGAACTGTGAACTGAAAGAGAAGAGAAGGCATTAAGTGGTACTGGGGAAACAGATTTCCTCATTTTTAGTGGCTTTGAAATAGAAGGCCCTTATTATTAATTTTCAAAAATCAATAATATTTGGTCAATTTCTTGTTTATTTATTGGCCAAAATCCTATTTCTTAGTAATAAATGGCACTAAAGTATGCCCATTGGATCAATGGCAATTTAGTGAATCAACTCCTCTGTAAGTTTCATTGATTCAACTTGGACAACTCTAACTGCACCTTACTATGCCTTATGGAGGAGTTGACTCACCATATCCTCATTGATTCAGTGTGCCAACTCTAGTGTGATTTACTAAGTTAAACAACAATTTTTTGGCCATTCTGCTAAAATAAATATTTTGGTGTTTGGGTTTTGGAACTTTTTTTGCTTATTTCTGTTGTGGTGTGTGGATCATGAGGTGAACTTTGTAATTGTGTCAGTGTGCCAATGGGCTTTCTGTGTTGAGGGGGTTGGTTGGACACAGTGGGGCAACGATCTCATTTTGTTCTGATGATGATTCCCCACCCACCCCTGTTACTACTTTCTGCTTTTAAAGAAGATTGATTGTTGTCTTGCCTCTGCTTTTTTGGAGTAGTTTTAAAGGATTCTTTATAGGCTCTTGGAGTGCCAGACAACACATATGGGAACATACAGGTCAAAACCCCAAAAGACACTTTCACTCTGGTGAAAAACCAAAGGTTTTCACTTTGGTGTAAACAAAGTGATGCACAAAAGATACAAGAATGAAAGAGGTACACCCCCTGAAAGAATCCAAAATGAAAAATAGACAACAATTTTCATTGTGCACATTCTTTCTTAGGGCTTCCCAAAGAAGTGTTTGACGTCAAAGGGAAGAAATTGGAAAATCAAGCGGCTGTGTGCTTCCTAAAATGTTGGATGTGGAATTACCATAACCTTTCCTTGGCACATTAAGTTGTGTTTCATGGATAAAGCCTTACAGTTGGGCTGAAAGCTGATGTTGTACTTGTATATAGTTCAAGTCTTTGGCAACACAACCATTTCAGTTCATAGGTGTTCTCCTTCAAGCAACTTTTATGATGAATATCTAATTAGGAAAGGTCTTCTGCTAGGATCCTGGGAGTCAGAGACACATTGATTCTCTGTGAGTTTTTTCTCAGTATAATTTTTCATAATTGCAGTGATTTATAGTCCTGCTTTTGTGAGTAAAATCTACGACGTCTGTCTGTCTGTCTGTCTGTCTGTCTGTCTGTCTGTCTGTCTCACCTTTTTCCAAATGGAGGAACCTAAGGAGGCTTACAAAATCTCTTTAAAACCCCAAATACAGCTAATGTGATGCTCTCTCTCTCTCTCTCTCTCTATCTATCTGTCTATCTATCTATCTATCTATCTATCTCACCTTTTTCCAAATGGAGGAACCTAGGGCGGCTTACAAAATCTCTTTAAAACCCTAAATACAGCTAATGTGGTATAGCCCACAGGATCCAAAGTGGTGTAATGGTTACAGTATAGTAGTAGGCCTAAGGAAACTGTGGTCCAAATCCCATTTGTCCATGAAACTCATTGGATGACCTTGGACTAATTACACACAGTCTGCCTGATTTAACTTACAACATTGTTGTGAGGATAGAATTGGGGGGGGAGGAGGAGAGACATTTATCCTTCCTGGAACCCATTGGAGGAAAGATGGGATATAAATGAAACTAATAAATAAGTAAATTACAACCCCTCCACCACTAAGTTATAATATTTGGCATTTGAAGATAAACTTCCTTGACCTTACCAATATTTATTGAGGATTCATTTTGCAATGGCGATTCCTCTGGCTGACCACCCAAATACGCCCAGCGAAGGGCTGCACTCCGGCAGACCGTGAGCTGCACCGTACTGTGAGCTTTCCGCAAGATATCTATCACTGTACTACGTGTTAAGCCAGACACAAGATGGCCGTTCACCTAGAAACAACACAGAGATACACAGCATCTGTATTCTCTTGCAGTTTAGCTTGTTCTATATAGCAGAGATACAGCGCACATTTGCTTGAAATATGAGCATACTTGCTTTGTGTCTGTACTCAAAATACATACACACACAAATGCTATATAATTACACACACACACACACACACACAAATGCTATGTAATATCTTTATTGAGAGCTCATTACTGCTATGCCCTAATAATTATTTCTCAACTTCCACCAAGATGTTTACACACATAAAAGGATCTGTTTTCTGTCTCCCAAAGGCTGACCTCAGCTCAGAGAAAAGGCGTTTTTGGCATGAATGGAAACATTGAACCCACACACTCTAGTTTTTAAGACATCATCATTCTATTACTCACTACTTTGGATCAGCAGCAGATTTTTGTTGTTATAAATTCTGCAAGAATGACTCATTGCATTGCTCATTATTAACACATTACCATTAGTCAATTTGAGGACAAAGCTGGGTGATACCTTTATTAGGCTACTACGATCTCACATAGAGAGACTAGCTTTCAACTCTGTATGAATCTCTGACAGGCTGGGCACGGCGCATTTCCCTTCGTTTGTAATCTGTATGCGTAGTACGTAACACTCTGTATGAATCTCTGACAGGCTGGGCATGGTGCATTTCCCTTCGTTTGTAATCTGTATGCTTAGTATGTAACTCATAGAATCATAGAATAATGGGGTTGGAAGGGGCCTATAAGACTATCAAGTTCAACCCTCTACTTAATACAGGAATCTAAATCAAAGTATATCTGACACATGGTTGTCTAACTTTATTTTCTGAGGTTGTTAAATTAAGTACCCAGCTCGCTGAGGGTGGGGGGAGCAATGTGAATCCTGCATAATTAAGTTGTAAACCACTCAGAGGGGCTTTAAGTGCTGAGGGATAGTGCATAAGCAGCACATTTTGCTTTGCTTTGTTTTGAATAAGCAGCACATTTTGCTTTGCTTTGCTTTGTTTTGAATGCTCCCAGTATTGGAGCACTCACCACCTCCCGAGATGATTGGTTCCATTGCCATACTGGTCTAAGAGTTTGAATGTTTTTCCCAATATTCCACCAAAAACTACCTTCCTGTAACTTGAGCCCATTAATATATGTCCTGCACTCTGACATGATTGAGAAGAGATCCTGCCCCTCCTCTGCATGACAACCTTTCAAGTATTGAAGAGTACTATCATGTCTCCCCCTCAGTCTTCTTTTCCGGAGTCTAGAAATCTATCATGTCTCCCCCTCAGTCTTCTTTTCTGGAGTCTAGAAATGCCCAGTTCTTTCAGTCTCTCCTCACAGGGCTTGGTTTCCAGTCCTGTGTTCATTGTTGCTCTCCTCTGAATTCGTTCCTGTTTGTCTCATCCTCCTTAAAATGTGGTATTCAGAACTGGACAACATACTCAAGATGAGGCTTAACCAGTGTTAAATAGAGGGAAACTAGTACTTCATTTGATTTGAAGACTATATTTCTATTAATGCAGCCTAAAGAGGCATTTGCCTTTTTTGCAACTGCACCCACTGTTGTCTCATATTTAGCTTGTGGTCCACAGCAATTTGAAGATCCTTCTCGCACGTAGTATTACTAAACCAAGTATTCCCCATTTTCTCACATCACATTTGTTTCTTTTTCCTAGGTGTAGAGCATTGCACTTATCACTGTTCAATTTTATTCTGTGGTAATTAGA